GAGCGCATCCTGTCCTGGAGCTTTGTTAGACTTCAGAGAAGAGATTAAACACTTCACCTCCATGATTGACACTTCCACCCACTGGGGTAAGGCTTTATATCCCTGTTTCAGGCTCAGAGAAGATATCACATCATCCGCATCATCAGAACTTTCCGCTACTGCTGGAGTGGCCAAATGCCTCTCCCAACTTATTGCAGTAATATTTGGGCCACTTATTGATTTTCTATCTTTAATAATTTTTGAGACCTCCAACCAGAAGAGAGTGGGTGAGGCCAGCTTTGCTGCCTGTTCTAAGCCAGCCCATAAATTATCAGTATAAGAGGCTTTTTTCTTCTTCAGTAGCTGCTTATATTTCTGCCTCATGGCCAAAGTCTTTGAGTTTCCTCTTCAGGATCTGGCCTTCTAAAGAGCAGTCAGAGTTGATCTCCTCTACGACTGACCTTTCTGTGTTGACCATCTGGTGATGTCCATGTGTAGTCATCTCTTGGGTTGTTGGAAAAGAGAGGTTGCTATGACCATCATATTCTCTTGACAAAATCCTATCAGCCTGTGCCCTGCTTCGTTTTCTACTCCAAGGCTAAACTTTCCTGCTATTCCTGTTATCTTTTGGCTTCCTACTTTAGCATTCCAATCCCCCGTGATGATAAAGACATCAAATTTTTGGTGTTGTTTCTATAAGGTGCTGTAGGGCTTCATAGAACCGGTCAATTTCATCCTGTTCAGCACCAGTGGTTGGGGCATAGACTTGGACTGCTGTGATGTTGAATGGTTTGTAGTTTTATGTATTTAGATAAAATTGGCATTCTTGCAAATTGCAATATGTACTGTACATGTAGTCCTTGACTTTGTCCCCAACTGAGCACAACATTTCCATTGCTGAGTAGGATATGTGCCATTTTACAACCTGTCTTGCCACCGTTGTTAAATGATTCACTGTAGTTCTTAACTAACTAACACGGTTGTTAGGTGGGGATGAAGAAAATGGAGGTCTCGACACATCTGTACATCAGGTTTAATTCAGTGGTTCTCATCCTGTGGTCTGTGGATCCCTGGGGGCAGGGGTCAGTTGATTCAGGTTTTACTACTGGTTCAGAACCTGCGCACAACATCAATGCACTCTCGTTTTACCCGCACCAGACACATGCCAGACACACATGCACTGTTCAATGTAAATTGCTTCTTGTGCATGTGCAGAACAATTTATAGTGAACTGTGCATGTGCAGTCACTAAAAACCAAAATGTTGGTGGCCTAGCAGTGGTGAGGGAATTGGTTTGGGGGCATGGCAGGCCTGGGTCACTGCTGGTTCTACAACCCAGGCCTGAATTCTACTACCAGTTCAGCTGAACTGGGCCGAACCGGGAGCAACCCACCTCTGCCTGGGGGTCCAGGATATCATCACAGAGGGTCCATGAAGGCTTGAAGAAATGTTATTGTCAACTTGTAATACGTTTCCATGACTACTATCAAGTTGACATAGAAAAGGGGAGGAAAGGGAGGAGAATTCCATGCATACCTTTGGTTAGAGTCAGGTCTCATATTCCTACAGCTGGCATGTGAAATGCACATGGTCATAGCCTGCTGTAGCACCTTGTTGGTGGATGTGATTTATGACACAGACAGAAGGGAAGGGGATTCAGTGGTAAAGTTCAAATGCAATTAAGCAAAAATCAGTTTTACTCCACAGAAGAACATGCCAAAATATTGATCCTAATGAATGAATGGATTTCTTTTGGACTTTGTCTCGAGGTTCATAAATTAATTAGGTCATTCTTTGGAAACTTCACAGAGAGCTGATGATGATTTTAATCTTTTTTTGGGGGGTCTGGGCCATGGTCCGTGGCCACAAAAGGTATTTAAAGGGGATCCCTGGTGAAGAAAAGGTTCAGAACCATTGATTTAATTGATTATGTTCTATAGGAAAGCAATGCAAGCCATGGTTTAATTTAGTGGCCTAAGATTTAGTTCTTTAAAACCATACCTTTACTGAGATCAATAAAGGATAAATAGAATTAGGTTCAATGAGGTCAATTAAGCAACTCTAAACGTTGCTTTACAATTAATTACCAGTCCGATAGTTAGAACACTATCCAGGACCTTAACATTTAATTATTTAAAGGTTCAAGAAATGCACCCTCTGCTGATCTTTTATGTGCAATGTTTTCCCCTTTTTCAGATGCCTTGGCTGTCCCAGAATCCTCTTCACCATCTTCTGGAACCATTTATTACCCTGTGGGAACAGACACATACACCCCGCCTCCTGTGCCAGGGTACGAATCCTGCGTCTCATTTGTGCCTGCGTACCACTGCGTCGGTTCTTGGTATCCAGTCAATGCGTCTTATGGAAGCACAGCCCGAATCCATAACAGTGTTAACAATGTTAATCCCAGCCATTTCCATCAGGTTAACTATGTCACCTCATCCAATCCACAACCACATTTTGTAGCTCAAAGCATGTAGATTCACAAGGATCCAGTATGGGAGCCTTCCCCTACTTGGAAGTATAATTCCCAGAATGCCGTGGCACACCCAACTGCCTAGAAGGTAAATTAAACCAACAGTTTTCAACCTTGGCAACTTTTAAGACTTGTGGCCTTGAAGTCCCAGAATTTCCCAGCCAGCACATGAATTCTGGGAATTGAAATCCACAAGTCTTAAAAGAGGCCAAGGTTGGAGACACCTAAAGGTTACCCATAACTTTTCCTGATTTTACATTGGTTGGTTCATTTCTTGTCCTGCTGCCATACTGTTCCATTTGCTAATCGTGTTGTGGTTTATTTTATTTTTCTTGTTTTGTTTCAATGTTGATTTATACCTGCACTAGAGGACAGGTGCACTCTTTAGCATTTAAGTACCATGGACAATGCAGTGAAGTTAAATTTCCATTGGATATTGCTGCATTAACAGAGCATCTAATGCATTCAGAGGATTTTCGTTTAAGTTATTGGCATTTTCCGCATCACAATAATAATGTTAAGTCATTAGCTAAATAGCTTTACTCTGCAATGCTATTCTTTATCAGTTTTCATGACTATTGACTCTAGGGAGTCATTTCCTCTTTAATACAAAGGCAACAACAGTGGAAAAGAACATTTGATATTAGAAATGTGGACCATTTAACATTGCTGATTCCACTTGTAACACAGTATGTTTGGTTTAAAAGACAAACTGTTGACTGTTTTCTTTAGTCTGGGCTTCTGAAAGTGAAGACTTAGGCCTACTCAGGCCTACTATTTTTGTTGTCAGAATTCTGTCTGTAAAAACAATTTGCACAAATGGGGATAAAATTGTGGGGGAGGGTTAGAAATTTGGCACCAAGAGCACTAAATAAATGTAAAAAGCACAAAGGCTTGTCTGGTCGTCCTTTGTTTGAGTGAATGAAATGGAATCAAATATATCCCAACATCCCAACTGCCAGGCTGGATATTGACACTTCAAGTTACACCAGGTCAGAAATAGAGACATCACCAGAAAAATTGTGGAACTGTTTCAAATTCCTTCAATAAGACCACACTTGGAATACTACATCCAGTTTTGGTCACAGCAAAGATGTTGAGACTTTAGAAAGAGTGCAGAGAAGAGCAATAAAGATGATTAGAGGACTAGAGGCTAAAACATGATGAACAGTTGCAGGGACTGGGTAGGTCTTGTCTAATGAGGAGAACTAGGGGTGAGATGATAAGTGTTCTAATATTTGAGGGGCTGTCACAGAAAAGAGAGCGATCAACTTACTGTATTTTCAGACTATAAGATGCACCAGAGTATAAGATGCACCATGATTTTGAAAAGTTAATTTTTTTAAAAAAAGTTAAAGTTTAAAAAAAGTTACATTTTTTTAAAAAAGTTTTTGCACTGCAGGCCTAGTTCTCCTCATTA